ATTTGCCCAGGGCTTTAGTTTTATTCCCCATTGTTAAAATTGACTTTGAGGCCCAAGTGCTACGTTTGCCCCAGGCCCCCGTCACAACTCGCAAGCGCTGAGGTCACAAACCCAAACAGTCTATTTATTTTGTATTATATACCTTATATTTTTCTTTATTTTCTTTTTCAGATTGTTTTATAGTTATGACCTTAATTCTAACCCTATAGCACTTGGTATTGCTATAGCAACAAAAGTCATGACATATACTGTATGTTATTTTTATATTATGGAACATATCCTTTTCATGCGAACTTGTTTGTCTATATAATTTGCACATTTCTTGTCCCGTAGGCGACGCGATTTTCCGTTTCATAACCCGCCAGGGTTAACAGTAACAATCAGTGTGACCACTTTCAGTGTGCGTAACATCCGGGTAATATGAAAATATCTCCAAAATAATACCACCCCGCGAAACACGTGTTTAAACATGCTGTGCTGCGTTTGCTGGGTTTCTTCTTAATTTTCGTCTTCAAATTAACATTGATGACATCATGAAATTCTGAAATCCATGCATTCATCAAAACATTGTGCTGCATGATAGGTCCCCTGCAGTTGGCTGACGCGCAGAAATTTTTGTTCCAGTATTCGCAGTTTTCCGGCAATCTTTCTAATGCCTTTACGTGAAGATTTTCTTTCCCTACTTCAGATAACGCATTTTAAAACTGGCGACAGTCTATATAATTGACAGCCGTATTAAATGCTCGTCAAAGTCCTGCACCTTTTAATAAAGTTAATGATAAAGTTTGGTGATATTTCGATATTATCGTGATATTTTTACTCATGATTATTGTATCGAAGTTAGAAACGTGAGCGAGGATATACCATAATTATTGTTACGGTCAATGATTGTCGTGACATTCTTTCGTTGTATACACATAGCTTTTTAAAGTTCTATACGATAATCACGATATGATACACTGGGAAAAAATGTAAAATCCATATTATGAGATTTGCAATTGCACCACAATTCAATCATACACTCCCCTTTCATTTCATTTCATTTCATGATAACATGTAGTAAGATTTGATTGTTGATTTCCTTAACAGTTGTTCACATTGTACATTTTACTTTATTTTACCTTTCGTTGGATTCTCGGCGATGTTATTTTACTCATTTTATAAAGCTTGGAAACTTGATCCTGGTACTATCACTGCAACACATGGAGAGAGAAAAAGAGTAAGTCAATTGCTTGATATCTCCACGTTTACCAAAAATTGCTTTCACAATCGACAGTCCTTTGCCAACCATTGTATTTTTTTTTTGGGGGGGGGGAGGAGGTACCCTTCCAGGTTATATAGGGGGCAATAGAGACCTTACGATTTACGACGGCAACGACTACCAATACAATAAATCATTGAAAGGAATTGAGTAATTAAAATATATGAATAATTTAGTCATTGTCCTCGCTCTGCATGTTTACAACGCCAAATCACATATTTTCACGTCTTCATACAACGGCTGCATTTCAAGCCGCAACAAGTGCAACTTCAAACTGCGTTCAGCAGAATTCTTTCCAACCATAAAACCCATGTCTTCAACTTCGAAGACTGTATTGATAATATATACGACGAATTATCTTCACTACCATTTATTTGAAAGAGTTTGTTTTGGCTGTCGTCGTCGCATTGCCGTCCTAAAATCGTAAGGTCTCTATTAACGGCAACGGCAGCCAAAACAAACTTCTCGAAAGAAATGATTGTTCACAAAAGTTGTTGTGAATTTTCCACTGTGTGAATTTATTACTTTACGATAAGGTTAAAATAAAGGTTTTACGGTTGAAAACATATATGAGTTGGGCAAATTTGTGGTATCAATTGTCGCGCTTTGAAACATGTACGAGAGACGCGATGTACAAGAGACGTGAAAATCTCATGTTTGCTGTTATAATTGACAGCGTCTTTATAACACTGGTGCATGGAGCTTTTAATTATTCATGTATTTTTTTAATTATTCATTGTCGCGTTGCCGCCCTGCTTGCTTAAATTAAGGTCCCTACTATTAGGGCGCTCAAGCTTGGATGACGCCAGCGCAAGGAGGACGGCCGGCTATCAACACATCGAAACTCATCATACGTCTCCAAATATAAATGAAACATTAAAAGTCGTACGTCATTATTCAGTGTTGTTGATTGTTTTCAATTACTGCGCTTTCCTCATTCGATTATACCCATCATTATTCTCTCTTGTTAGATTATCGTAAATCTTGCAGAAGATGGTTCTTTGGACTTCAAAAGTTTTTGTCCAACTTGCCTTGTAAGTAAACATACGCGATTTTTACTCTTTCTACAATTTTTTAATGTACGTAAAAAATTTACTATGTTCTGATTGGATAAGAGCAGTGCAATTATTTTTGAAATCGCCAGTAACAAATCCAGAGCAGAGTCTGGAAACGAGGCAGGAAAACTAATTTAGGAACAGTAGACATCAAAGGTAAACGTGTATCGACGGAGAGACAAATTAAACAAAGCAATGTTTGGTTTAGGAGATTATAGTGAATCAGGGTTTATAGCACATGAATACTCCATAACATCTAGTGATTTTTTTCAAATTGATTTTATTATCGATTGTTGTGAAAATTATTTACCTTCATCAGTTACGTCATTCTCGTACCCAGAGCCCTTCTTACGCGCTGCGACGATGGGCTCTGGCCAAATCCAAAACCGGATACCATAAAAACATGGTAAAAGAATATATCCGGTATTAGAACAATAACCTTCGTTGTAGCCAATCAGATGCCAGTTACAATGGATTTGGCCGGAGCCCCTCGTCGCACCGCGCGTAAGAAGGGCTCTGGTACGAGAATGCAATTACGCTCATTCGGACCTGGCGTTAAGTGTCCGCGGCCCCTTAGGCTTAGTAAAGGTGTCCGCTGAATAGGAGTAATGATAATATGATTTTATTAAACAGATCATTGGGTCGGGAGGTATGTTAAGACAGGTATTCGCAGAGGTTCAACTGTATGAAAGTTTGGACGTAGTTTTTAGCGCATGTTAAGTTAAAAACTCCTCGTAATACATATATACTCTTTGCGACTGGAGAGCATATATAGGGAGCCGTGGGATTTGTAAACAAAGGAGTAATGTAAACCGCAACTTTCTTGTTGCCCTCCAGATATTGTTATGCAAAGTTTTTTTTGGCCGGCGTTAAAGACCTTTTTACCTTCACGTTCTGCAACCATGTCTTTTCACCATCCAGTTTTCTTTATTGATCAGTGGTAATTTATTTCTAAGACTGATTAGTAAAGTTTCTCTCTTAGTTCAGCCTGACTAACTGCGTAATTCATTTGTTTAGGTAAGGCGTCCAATCCGTTCTAAACACTGTTCTATCTGTGATTGCTGTGTGGCTCGTATGGATCATCATTGTCCTTGGGTTGATAACTGTATAGGTAAGATAGAAAGTGAGTTGTACTAATGGTTAAAACATAGTGACCAAATACCAGCATAATTTTTGTGGCTATCTTTCCTGCATTGTTCATGGCTGTAATTCCTCCATCGGAAATTTGGCATCAGCAGTAGTTTTCACACGCCAGGACGACAATTGTATACAACAAATCGCAGCGTGTGAACGCACCTTGAACTCTTGACGGACGAAACGTCGAGGTGTCTTTAATCTTTTTCAGATAGTGTTGTTACACCGCGACAGTTTCTAATTTCTTGTTTTATTTGTTTCCAGGAGTGGATAATCACGCATCATTTATGATCTATCTGTTCTCTGTGATTGTCTGCTATACCTATGTTGTGTATGGAGCATTTTGCTGTAAGTATATGTTATTTATTGAACGTTCTCTGACTTAATATTTATTTCTACGAGCTTTCGGCTATCAGTCTATAGCCTTCGACGGGTGTATACAAATGATTCTATAAAGGACGCTAAACTTAAGTAGGTGGTATGAAATCTGAGACTATCTAATAATGCTATGTTATAAATGGGTAATATGAATATTTAATTAATTAATGTTTCTTGAGTTCCTTTCTTAAAAGTATTGTGTATTGTGCTGGAAGCGTATTAGAGTTATTATCAGCTGCGTCTGTTAGTGCAGTGTGCCAGGACTCTAAGGTTTTAAGGTTTCTATGATTTCCCTTGTCTATCACTTTAGCATTGGCAAAGTCAATTACATGATCTTGAGTCCATGCGTGTTTTGCAACATTTGATCCCTTCTTGCTGTGTTTTACATTCCTTACGTGTTCAGACTTTCTCGTCTTCAGGGACCTTCCTGTTTCGCCTATGTAGCTCCAACTACAATCTTGACACGGTATTTGGTAGACCACGTTCTTTTGCTCTTCAATTGGTGGTTTCTGAGACTTCCTGACAGAACTCAACTCGACATTGACGACATCATTCGACTTTTATATTTTGGTTTATCTAATAGTTTTTTCGTTTATAACAACACCACCTACAAACAAATTCATGGATGTGCCATGGGCAGCCCTGTTAGCGCAACTGTTGCTAACTTGTGCATGGAAGTGATCGAAGAACAGGCCATCCGAGACGCAACTTCACCACCTAAAGTTTGGAAACGTTTTGTAGAGGATTGTTTTTCCATAATAAAAAAGACTAACATATCATCTTTTCATGACACATTAAACTCCATTGACCCACACATTAACTTCACTATTGAAAACGAAAAGGACGAAAAGATCGCTTTCCTTGACACATTAATTTCTAGAAGGGAGGGCTTAATTTCTATTGACGTTTACCGCAAACCCACTCACACAGACCGTTACTTAAACTACTTATCACACCACGACCAAAAACATAAAATTAGTACTGCAACAACACTTATCAACCGATCCATGTCACTTCCTACCACTGACGAAAACAAAGAAAGAGAACTAAATCATGTAACCACAGTTCTGGCATCAAATGGCTATCCAAAGAAATTAATTTCAGGATTGATAAAAAAACGTAAGAACAAAACTGTAGTAAGCCCTGAAGAGTTAGTCCGGTCATTTTTCGAATTAGTCGAAGGAAAGTCGCCACCTGCAGGAATCGCGGTTCTACCTTACATCAAAGGACTAACCGAACCCCTAGCCAGAACACTCCAAAAACATGACATCAAGGTTTACAATAAGCCAGTGAAAACCCTCGAATGCCAGTTTCCATCTGCAAAACAGAAACCACCAATTGAAGAGCAAAAGAACGTGGTCTACCAAATACCGTGTCAAGATTGTAGTTGGAGCTACATAGGCGAAACAGGAAGGTCCCTGAAGACGAGAAAGTCTGAACACGTAAGGAATGTAAAACAAGGCAAGAAGGGATCAAATGTTGCAAAACACGCATGGACTCAAGATCATGTAATTGACTTTGCCAATGCTAAAGTGATAGACAAGGGAAATCATAGAAACCTTAAAACCTTAGAGTCCTGGCACACTGCACTAACAGACGAAGCTGATAATAACTCTAATAAGCTTCCAGCACAATACACAATACTTTTAAGAAAGGAAGTCAAGAAACATTAATTAATTAAATATTCATATTACCCATTGATAACATAGCATAGATAGTCTCAGATTTCATACCACCTTCTTAAGTTTAGCGTCCTTTATAGAATCATTTGTATACACCCGTCGAAGGCTATAGACTGATAGCCGAAAGCTCGTAGAAATAAATATTAAGTCAGAGAACGTTCAATAAATAATGTTTCAACCTGGCTACGCATCCTCTATTTTTTCAGTAAGTATATGTATTGGATTTCCGGTCGTACGCTGCGAGCTCGCATCTAAAGCAGGTTCATTGCATTCTTGCATGTTTTGGGCGTATTGCATTCGTTGTTGATTGTTGTGATATTTCGTTTTTATTTGAAATCATCATCAGACAAACTCATTCTCGTCTTGTTTTGATTCATGTCTTGAGTTTGAAGATGTTAATCTCTGGATTGTGTTTTGTCTCATGATTTTTGAAATTGTCGGCTGCTATTGGTTTTATGTCCTGATATAAGAGAGCTTCAGATTTGACTCATCATTTTGTATAGGTAATAGCATGGTTTCGAGTGCAATTTGGATATAACATGCACGAGTGAGTTTTTCAAAGACCTCAAAATAGCACGAGTGCTATTTGAGGTCTTTGAAAAACTCACGAGTACATGTTTATCCAAATTTCACGAGAAACCATGCTATTACTTATTAATAATTTACATAAGAAATAAAAATGTTCGAGACAATTGTAGTTTTAACTTACGTTTATAGCGAACATTCCACTGACAAAGTTTTCCTGGCTTTGTTATATCGCATTATACAACGCTAACAGCTTGAAAATTCCACACAACAGTGTAAGTTTTGTTAGTCTTGTTTAAGGTAAAGGCTTTTCCATTTAAAACTAAAGATAAAAGCCATATTTTCCACGCGAAGTCAACTTTTACTTTATGTAGCGCCGCGCCATGTTTGTTTTGTTTTGAAGCAATCTGTGACCGTTACTTCTTTAAACTAAACTGCTTTAAACTGATTGGTTGATTTTATCATCACAATGTTTTTCCACCAATCAGATCAGTTTGTTACAGATTTTTGCACTGTTGTTACAGATTTGTGCACTGTTGTTACAGATTTGTGCACTGTTACAGATTTTTGCACTGCTGTTTGTGATTAACTGCACTGAAATCAACCAATCATAGTCGAGTAATATTTTCCCCGAGCCGGCGGCGCGAAGCGCCGTGCGAGGGTACTAATTCCCCCCGGCTATTTACACCCGGGGAAACGAAAGCATTAGCCAAGTCTAAAGTTCATCAAATATCGCGGGCGTGGGTCACTGTGCGTGGGTGGTCATCCTCACTGATCTCAAAAAGATGGCGGACTGTCATGGATAGCGAACACTGATTGGTCAAATTTAAAATTTGTTGTTGTATGACAAATCACGACTTCAACTGACAGATACTTCATGAAAATAATTTGCTTTTTGCACTGCAGTATTTTGTACGTTTGCAAAAAACTTTGACAGCTTTCAAAGCAATTTGCTCTATAAAGAGTTTAATAAAACAATTATGGTATCAAATGCCAATTGAAAAGATATGGACTACTGTATGGAGCCAAATGAAGAGCGGCAAGGAAACGAAAAGAAAGCCGAACGTCTCGCGAAAAGGAGGGAGCCAGCGAAGACGACAACGTTTGCTCGAGGAGACTGCTGAGGAAAGAGAAGCTCGCCTGGGAAAGCGTAGAGAAGCATGGAAAAAAAGACTGCTGAAGCGAAAGGTATTAAAGCAAAGGCTTGTCTTCACAACGCTATGTACCAATGATACTGTAGCTATACAAGTTTAAGTATGATATTCGACCCTCTATATTCCACTATTTCTTCACAATTTTCCAATAAAGAGTTTGTCATGACACGCTCAAGTCAGTATAACCAGACTGTATTTTATTTATATCAGTTCATCACAGCCACAGGCAATTTTATGCTGTCAAATACCGTCGGTGGCAACTAAGGGTGAACAGTTGCAGATAAAACATTCTCTATTCTCATTAAAAAGCCTGTAAAAGTTTCCAGTAGGTCTCTAGCCCAACAAGTTCAGACAAAGTTTTGTTACTGATTTTTATTGCACACATGGGAAACAACAATTAAGTGTTGTTGTTCTTGACAAACATTGAAGATTCTAATCACGCGAATGTTTTTATGAGCGACTGTTCATCGTTAGTTGCAAACGACGGTACAACATACTATGAACATTTTTCCGACTGTGACCGAATGTGCAACGATATATTTTTCAAAGTTGTTAACAATTCCTAAAATTTGTTTATAGTAAAACAGCCTGCTCAGCACTCACTACTCACGATGATTTCATTTAGAAATGCAGTTACCAGGAAAGGAAATGATTCTAAAATATGTAAATTTAAAAGCATTGGCTATTACGATGTGAAGACAAGGTACAAACTTTTATAGTTGCTATTTGTTAGAAATCCTATAAATAAACCCATTCAACAATAATTTTGCCTCGAATTTACATATTCTATGCTGCATGTTTATATTTTATTTTTATAGTATAAAAATAAAATTGTAATACTATGAAATAAAATACATTTTTGTTTATTGACCAGTACTTATTTAATGTCTTCTTCATCCAGCGGTCAGAGTAAATCTCTACTTCTAGCAAGTAAATATTTGACAAGCAGTCTGGAATAAGCACAGGACTTTTAATGCATCAGCCAAATCCAAGTGTGCCCATCCCCCTCGCCCAGCCATTTTCCTGTAAAGCACATCCCGGGGGTTGGGCATTTCCACTCGAACCTTCGCTCCGGCGGGGCATTTGAAATTAATAATTTGGATTCTTGCCACTTCACTTGTGGAATAGACACTTCCCGAATTTGCTTGAGTGCACACGAAACAATAGCTTGGAATCGAGGCGGACAATGTAATCCATTGGAAATAAGTATAGTTTTCCAATGGATTACATCGTCCGCCTCGATTCCAAGCTATTGTTTCGTGTGCACTCAAGCAAATTCGGGAAGTGTCTATTAATATTAGAATGTTAGGGTTTGTAATCCAAGTGAGAATATATACATGTATATATTTTGTAATCCAAGTGAGAATATTTTGTAATCCAAGTGAGAATATACAAATGTACTGGTATAGTACATGTATATATTTGGTGTATATATTTTGTAATCCAAATGAGAATAGTTTGTAATCCAAGTGAGAATATGCAAATGTATATATTCTCACTTGGATTACAAACCCTAACATTCTAATTTTAATTCCACCAAATGAAGTGCAAGAATCAAAATTATTGAAGTCCACCTTATCACAACCCGCACACCCGATTACCTAAATATACATGAACTTATGGTTAAAGCTCAACAGCTGGCCTCTGTAGCTCAGTTGGTTAGAGCGCTGCACCGGAATCGCAGGGCCGTAGGTTCAATTCCTACCAGAGGACCTTGTGCTGCATTTTTCGCAGTCGTTCCTGGTTAGGTCTTAAAATGTATATATTCTCACTTGGATTACAAACCCTAACATTCTAATATTAAGTCCACCAAGTGAAGTGCAAGAATCCAAATTATTGAAGTCCACCTTATAAATCATAACCCGCACACCCGATTACCTAAATATACATGAAATTATGGTTAAAGCTCAACAGCTGGGCGAGCTGTAGCTCAGTTGGTGAGAGCGCTGCACCGGAATCGCAGGGCCGTAGGTTCAATTCCTACCCGAGGACCTTGTGCTGCATTTTTCGCAGTCGATCCTGGTTAGGTCCTAAAATGTATATATTCTCACTTGGATTACAAACCCTAACATTCTAATATTAAGTCCACCAAGTGAAGTGCAAGAATCCAAATTATTGAAGTCCACCTTATCATAACCCGCACACCCGATTACTTAAATATACATGAACTTACGGTTAAAGCTCAACAGCTGGCCTCTGTAGCTCAGTTGGTTAGAGCGCTGCACCGGAATCACAGAGCCGTAGGTTCACTTCCTTCCATAGGACCTTGTGCTCCCTTTTGCGCAGTCGTTCCTGGTTAGGTCTTAAAATGTATATATTCTCACTTGGATTACAAACCCTAACATTCTAATATTAAGTCCACCAAGTGAAGTGCAAGAATCCAAATTATTGAAGTCCACCTTATCATAACCCGCACACCCGATTATTTAAATATACATGAACTTACGGTTAAAGCTCAACAGCTGGCCTTTGTAGCTCAGTTGGTTAGAGCGCTGCACCGGAATCGCAAGGCCGTAGGTTCAATTCCTACCAGAGGACCTTGTGCTGCATTTTTCGCAGTCGTTCCTGGTTATATATATAGGTCTTAAAATGTATATATTCTCACTTAAAATGTATATATTACAAACCCTAACATTCTAACCCTAACATTCTAACATTTGAAATTAAGGATTTGGAGGTTTTGCGACCACCGACAACTTGATAATTTTATAAAACAAAACACTTCTATCTCCAACTTTTACAATCACTGATAAATTGATAATAATTTAAACCAGTCTAGCTGTAGTTTATATAGAGAATAATACATGGGTGCACGAAATACCAGATTTATTTCGAGTGTTGAACATGAGTGTGCAGCGAACAAGTGAGCGCAGCGAACGAGTGAGATGTCATGTTCAACACAAAAAATAAATCTGGTATTTCCAACCACCCATGTATTTTTCTGTTTATTATATAAAGGACAGTCTTAAATGAAAAGCGATAATGTTTACAGAAAAGCGATAATTGAAAAGGCGATAAATTTTTACAATATGTGAGATTATCATGAATAATTTCACATCTGAGATTATCATTTTTGTCAGTGCTCGAAAACTCTGTAAAACACTATACTTTATATAATAAAAAGTCATAAATTTGAACCATGCTAGAGCATGACAACAGCAAAATGCTCTATAGTATGATGCACAATATTTTGGGAGGTGAAATACACGAACAATAAATCAGAGAGTGTTTGCTTGGAACTCACTGGGGGGGGGGGGCAACACCCCTGATAATTGCTCATGAGGAATTTCAGGTAGATTTCCAGTGCACTTTTAGGTAAATTTAAGTAGATTTGCAGAAGATTTTCAGGGGAATTCAGCTAATTCTCAGGACATGAGAAAGTGAATTTGGAAAACAACTGTATTTTCGGAAAAATTATTATATGTCCTGAATTTTTTTTGTACATCTGGAAAAATTTTGGTAGCCCCCCCCCTCCCTTCCCCCTCTATATAACCTCACACACACCCTCAGACGAAGTGCTCGCAACGGCACTGAGTATACATCTTTTGAAAACGGGCGAGGGGTTATTGCATGCATGTATTTCTAGTATATCTATATTTAGAGCCAGGCTACGCGACTTCTGTAATGCTAAATTACCATCATATAGTCCTCCTGGCTGCATCTAAGTAAATTTAATGTTATATAATATAGTTGTTTGTTTAATCATATACTAGTATTGACAGGGGTAAAGTGTCAATTGAGACGCAAGTCCTGTTCTTTTCTCCAGTCACGTCTATGTTTAGTGTGTTATCTTGTTAGAATGTTGTGTTAGTGTTGCTTGTTTGCTAGTATACATTTTTTTGTATATATCTATATAAAGGTGACGAAATTATTAAATTAAATTAAATATATATATATATATATATATATATATATATATATATATATATATATATATATATATATATATATATATATATATATATATATATATGTGTGTACATTTGACTTTGTAGAAATTACTAAGGATGAAGTTCTATATCTGAATTAAATCTAAAAGCCAACAAGGGTTTTGAACCAGACAATACATGGTGTATCAAAAAAAGTAAGACAATTTTGAAATCGCTCTCAATTCCACAATTCTGTTCATGAAATGTAATTTTTTATATGTATGGATTGCTTGAGTTCTTAAATTATGGAAAACATAAAAAAATTTGAAAATAGTAAATTTTGCTATCCAGGGGGGTGGTCAACTTTTGCTCTCCTAAAAGTGGCTTGCGCACGGAAATGACAAACGGTATTCTTTATTTGAGTTCATGTATGAAAAGTTTGCTATTTGTTGCATTTATGATAAAATTTCGGCAGGATTTTACCGAGTACAAATCCTCCGAAAAGCCTATGAAAACGTTACATTTTCTCTG